TATATATAAATTATATAATAGGATTCAACAGGCTTAGAATTGATAAATTTGGCTCTATTTCATGTTCCTTGTTTGGTTGTGGGCTTGGGGTAGAATTATTTATTCGACTGTCTATTTAATCATAATTATATAAATACGGAGTATTATATTTATATAAGTATAAAATGATTTAAAACTTGTTAAACAAAAATATAATTTTTTGCAAATTATCTTAATACCATTCGGGTATAAATGTTGAATTTCACGGGACAACCGTATCACCGAATTTTCGATTTAAAGTTACCAAATTATTAACAATACAAAGGTTTTCATTTTAGTAAAACACAAACATATAAACTATAATAGGTATAGTTTATGGAACATACATGTTGCTTTTCAAAGTTCAGATTACAATACGGAAAACAAACATATAAACTATAATAGGTATAGTTTATGGATCATATATACTACTTTACATATTCAGAATAACTTACAGAAAACAAACATATAAACTATATTAAATATAGTTTATGAGATATATACTTACAGTTTATTTATTACAAAGTAACTTTTCATTATTCTACACATAACCGTCAATATAGCATTTGTGAGACACACTTCACGTACTAATTTAAGTACCAACCAAGTCCTGAAATTATAACCAGAGTCTCGTGGAGGGAGAACGTGACACTTGTGTATAGATCTATACGGGACTGACAATCCCGCACCTGAGCTGCTTGCAACAACTAGGCCGGCAGGCCTGTGGTGACAAATGTCGTACCGATTTCGACGCCTGATGAACGTCGTGTTCAGGCCATCTTAGGTCATCAAGCATGGTTATGATAACTCACAATTTGGTATTGAACAATACGATTAGTGTAAGAATAAGTAAACATCTTCACATAGTTTTATTAAATAATAAAACTATAATACAATATTTTACAAGTACAGATGGTAAACCAGACATTTACAATTACACAGTTTTCACACAAGTACAAATACATAATACTATTCCAGTATAGAGAAGAACATACTTTTCATGGTTTTATATGAATCAAACTACATTTTTCTATCTCAGAGTACAATAACATTTATACATTTTGATTACAATATATTACAACAGAAAATATAGGATTTTCTTGGAAAACATACTTACATTTTCAAGGAACAAATAACAGATTTCAATTACATACATACTTATGAACTCACTAACTTAATTGTTGACACTCTTTTTAAAACTACTTGTATTCTCAGGAAATCAGTAAACAGGTATCCACGGGTTTTGAGAAGACGGAGCTTCATTGAATCATGTCTTTTAACTTTTGCTATACATTTTGGTGTCAAGTATACATTGATTTGAACACGAATGTAAAACTATACTTTATCAATGTAATGGTTGTACTTTAGTTACTATTATGCAATTGTTGTGATATTGTACATGACGTCCTCTGCCCGCGAATGTTTCCGTCGTTCCGGTTTGGGGGTGTGACAACTTATTTTTTAGTTATTAGTTATGCTTGTATGCAGCCCTAAGCAGTTCACATTGGGTATTTTTGGTCATTTCTATGTTTGTCAACAATTTTATTGGGATGGTATTCCTAAACTAGCATTCTACTTTTACTTATGGCTTGAAAGTTCTGTAAACAACCATTTGTTAATTTGGTTTTGGTACCATATGTTTTAATATTTTGGTGCTTTGTATGGCTTAAAAAGTTGTTACCATCTGTTTTAGTAGTATCTGTTCAAATTAATTATGTTCAAAATGTATGCAAGAAAGTTATATAAATTAAAATGCATCTGTATGGTTTAGCATTCTCTAATATCGTACATAAATGGTCCCTGTAATATCATGTAAAAACGGTCCCTGTAATGTTCTAAAATATTATGCAAAATGGTCCCTGTGACTTGGAAAGATGCATTTGTCCCTGTGGTCTTTGCTCTCTAACGTGCCCTACTAACGGGTGTTAGCTAGAGGGACCAAAAACACAAATAAAATCCATTTTTTTGACCATTTATGCACCATGAAACCTTTTTGGACCAAAAACACATGATTTTAGCAACCACATGGACCATTTTTGTAATTTTGTCTATTTGGTATTTATGGATCCTGAGATTTGTTTTGGAAATTGCCTACTTTAGTAGATAGAGTTTATTATAAATATGGGTGAGAGTCGGCCTTAGGAGGCGGACACATTTTGGTGTTTGGTTTTTGTAGAGATACCTTTGTATCTCGAATTACGAGGATGTTTGGGCTTGCTTTAAAAATGACTTTTGAAATTTTTATTTTTTCAAAAAGTTCAAAAGATGTTTGTGAAGTTGAAAACTTCTTTTTAAAACAACTTTTAGGCACAGGAAAAAATTTGATTCTAAAAGTCACAAAATTGTGACTTTTGTGACTTTTGTAGCTCTTAAAAGCAACTTTTATCTTTTCAAATACATTTTAAACCATTATTTTTGGAAAAAGACATTTTACAAAAAATTCTTTTATAAAAAAAACTTTAAAGCTAAAAAAGTTATCCCAAAACACCCACTACATGCCCTATCGTTTTATTTGCAAGCATCAAGTTAAGAGTAATTTGATTCTCAACTCTATTATGTAATTTTCTCCCACTTGCAAAAAAGTTTAGAAAAATGACTTTCGAGATAATTAAATTGTCAAAGGCTCGTATGGCCATCAATTACATTTTTTTTGAGTAATTTTAAGTCCAAAATATATTACATACGACAATTTCCATTCAATTAGATTGGTGCAACCCACCCCACCCCAAACACACATATACCAACCCCTCAAAATTTGCGGTTATATTTATTCCCTTTAAAAAAAACCACTTGATTTTTAGAAAAAAAAAAACATATAACTTTATATAAAATAATGCCGGTAAGAAGCTCGAAATTACAAAGCATATTTAAACACGAAAAAAACTTACAACTCAGACAGCCACTTGAGTTAATAAACATTTTCTTACCTTAAAGTTATGGTCTTTACTCATTCTAATGTCAATCGTTGCATTATCTGTTATTTTGAACATGTTTTTGAAAGGAAATAGTGTGTGGATATCTCTACACTTCGTGTTATTTGAAATGTGACATGTTTTCTAATATTTAAACTATATACCCAAAGGTCTAAACCCAAAATGCTAAACTATAAACGATAAACCTAAACTATAAACCAACACTCAAAGAAAACTATTTGCTAATGCATTATTTCTAGTTTATAATATGAGATTTTACAAAAGAAACTATTCATCAAACCCTTGAAGTTCTACCTATCTTTATCTTTCGATCAGATTTTAAGTCGAACTAATTTGTTGGGTAAATAGTTTCGACTTTGTATCTTTGGTTAGTTTTAATACATTTGTTATTATATATTTTTTGTTTTGTTTTTTTGTTATATTTTTGTTTTGTTCACACTAAACGATACAAAATGGGTATTACTCTAATTGTTTTAAATGATTGATACACAATAAATCATCCTCAATACATTTACATATATTTCTTTGAGTAAATATGTATTGGAACAATAAACTAAGGTTTGTAAACTTTAAAATAAAAGAACAAGATCTCATCTTTAAAATTGGTTCATAAACCTTATGCAACAAGAACCTAAATAACTCACCCAACCATTTATTCTATTTACACCACAAAATTACACATCAAAACACAACCCATACCCTTACCAATAACACCAAATTAAAAAAACTTAATAACAAAAAACACACTTCAAAACAACACAAAGTAAAAAACATAAACACAATAAAATTACAAATCTTCTTCATTCACATAACGATCTCCGGCTTCAAGATACTAGCCTTAATCTCCTTATGTGGCAAAACCACACCACCATTACTATAAACCTCATCACACACATGAACATCTTCCCCCAAAATCGTCATATTCTCAACCCGGGCCCACATCCCAACCGTTGAATGCCACCCAATAATACTACTCGATATACACGCATGCATCTTCACGCGGACCCCACGCATCACAGTGCACCTAGACAACCGCACCCCAGACTCCACCACACACCCGGGCCCAATTGCAACATCGGGCCCAATCAAACACCCTTCACCAATCTTAGCACTTTCATGAACCAAAACATTTCCGATTATGTGGGGCCCGTTTGCTAATTTTGGTGATGATTTTTTTCTTAGGGAGTCTAGGTATAGTTTTAATCCGGTTATGTAATCTTTTGGTTGACCAATGTCCATCCAAAAGCCGGGTAAGACCATTGCGAATAGGAGATTTGATGATGCGATTTTTGGGAAGATTTCTTTTTCGATTGATGTGGGTTTGGGTTCGATTCGGTTGAGAATTGAGGGGTTTAAAAGGTAAATTCCCGCGTTGATTTTGTTGCCCACGAATATTTTTGGTTTTTCAACAAATCTTTCGACTCGTCCGGTTGATTCTTCCATTACCACCACACCGTATTTTGACGGTTCGTCCACCTACAAAGAGTCAGTAAAAAAGTAAAAAAGTCAGTTTCTTTTTTATTTGGGCTGTATTTGGCACGCCACATTTAGCTGATAAGCTAGCTTATTTTTTAAGCTTTTTTAAGTTGTCATGTTTGGCAAGCCAAAAAGTAGCTTATAAGCTAGTTTTTTGAAAAGCTACTTAGACTAGCTTTTTAGGATTTTTTTTTTTTCAAATATACCCCTTAATTAATTATAGAAACACATCTTTTAAATGTCATTTTATATCTTTTCAGCTAGTTTTACCAAACGTTATTTTTTATCAACTAGTTTTTCAGCAACCGACTAACTTTTTATTTTACAGCTAGCTTTTCAGCTTGTATGCCAAACATAGTCTTAGACTAGCCTTTTATGAGCTTTTTAAAATTTTTCCATATATACCCCTTTGTTAATTTTAGAAACACATTCTTTTAAATACCTTTTTATGTCATTTTATACCTTTCAGCTAGTTTTACCAAACGTCATCTTTTATCGGCTAGCTTTTCAACTATCAACAGCTCTTTTATTTAACAGCTGACTTTTCGTCTATCAACTAGATTTTTCAGCTAACAGCTAGCAGCTTTTCAGCTAGTACCGAACATAGCCTTAATGGACTTAATAAGTACACTGTACTTGAGTACTTGATCTCATAAGCTATATATAAATGCTACTTTTTGACTTAATGAGGAAAGAATGAGAAAAGTACTAAAAGAGCTCTACCTAATTATAGCAGTGTCTCAACTTATATAATTTTGTCAATTATTCAAAGTACAAGGTTACGATTTAGTAGGTTTTTTAATTTATAATGTCTTAATAGGACAAAAGTTGAAAGTACAATGTTGTAATTAAAATAGATGATAGCAAGATACTATATATAGTAAGCAAATATATATTAAAGTATGTTGCTAGTTCTTGCATTTACCCCTTTATTTTTCCCCCATTTGTCACTTTCTTGAATATTTCTTGAACTTCATTTATTCAAGTGAAGTACCCGAAATACATGAATAAAAAAAAACTATTTAAGTAAAGTATTTAGTATTTACCTTGGTGACCATTATTGAAGCTTCACCACCATGGGATTTGTGAAATGCAATCATTTCTTTGAGTGGATATTCACTTATAACATCACTATTAAGCACAAAAAAAGGTTCTCCAGATCCATCATCCAATTTATCTCTAGCCAGAGCTAGTGGGCCCGCAGTTCCAAGTGGCTCAGTCTCTTGTGAGCATGTGATCTTTATCCCAAGTTTCGTTTCAAAATCCTTCAAAAAGTTAAGCATAACCTACAAAAACAAAAATTTATAAAAATCCATATATCTTTGTAGAAACAAAAGAAAGAGTGTGAGAGTTTGAATTCCAATGTGGATCAGACCCCTTGTGGGCCCCACCCTGACAGACACTGTGTACCTGATTTACACCTCACATAATGTTCTGACAGTGTGAAACATAATAAAACTTTACCTCGGGTTGGTAATTGATAGCAAGAACTACTTCGGTGACTCCTATAGCCTTGAGAGCTTCAATCTAATAAAAAAAATAATTTTTAGCTACTTTTTTTATAAAAAAAAAAAAAGAAAAAGAAAAGAGGAGGATGAAGGTTATAATGTTATATTATACCTGGTGAAGGATCATGGGTTTGTTGGCAAAGTCAACAAGGGGTTTTGGGAAGCTGAGAGTCAAAGGCCTCAACCGAGTTCCAAATCCTCCAACAAGAATAAGAGCTTTCATGGTGGAAAGGAAGATCTGGAAATTCAAGAAAGTATAAGAATCTTGAAATTGAGAATGTGTGTTGAAAGATACTTCGTTTCTTTCTATTTAAAGACTAAGAAAGATGTGGAATCATGGAACTCTTTGTTGACATTTTTGCATGTCATAAAAGCAAGCAATTCCACTTCAAAAAGATGAAAATGTCGGTGTGCTTTTTATGCTAAAAATAGATATGAGTATATCAACAATCACACACAATAATAATAATAACTGCTGGAAAATGAAAAATCAAAGCCAAAATCTTTACATTGTGTTAACAATTTTCATATTGTACTATCTAAATTGAGCTTCATATCCAAAAATTCTTGGTGGAGTTAATAAAGAAGATGACTTTTGAAGCAGATGTGATGTGAAACAACCGATTTCTTTGATACGTGTCATCATGTGAGTAAGATGACTGAAATAGGAAACAAATCCAGCTTGCTACAGGCTGGAATGGAATTCTTTATATAGCTTTAGTTGTACTCATTTCTATTTTTTCTTCCTTTTTGACAATTTAAAGAACTTCTACTTCGATTTTGATATGATTTATGATGATCTTATACAACTAACTGGAGTGAGTGGCAAGAGCAATTTAAGATTTTCTAAATATAAGAAAGCTTCCCAACAAGATATAAATGCTGCTTTTAAGGTAGATGATGAATTGATGATAAGGCAACATGTTGTTTTCAAGTTTTATGTATGAAATTAATGGTGGTTTGTTTAAGATTTTAGTCTTTTGTTGAACTCCAAACATATCAAATCAAAATTAAACTTCATTGCAGTTTGCAGAATGTAATCCAGTTCAGGTAAGTATCTCAAACTCACTAGAAGGGTGAGATCAAGGAATGGAATCTGGATCTATTCATAACTCAATGAAACGACTATTATTAGCCATTGATGAGCTACAACTGATGACATAAGAACAAAGAATCAGAATGATCTCTCTATTTATAGTAGTAATTCAATGCTAGACTTCACCGAAACAATACATTATGCAAAATTTACCATGAAAATATGTATAAAACAGAATAAGCCAATCAATACCCACCAGATCTATTCATTAATCAAATGAAAAGCATATGAATTTCATAAAATAAGCAACTTCGGTAATCAAAATTCACAATGACAGAAAGGATCTAAAGCAAATAGCCATTTGATTAGCAATCATTAACCACGTATAAACCCTAATACTTACCTAAATCTTTCAAATTCGGCATATAATGGGGCATAATTAAAGAAGCGAAAGGAGAGAAGATTACCTGAGCGACAAAAGAGCTTCACTTGGTGAAGGATTAGTCGTTGGGAGTATCTTTTACATGTGCAAATTGGTATAGAGAGGAATGGGGATTATATATGCAAATGTAACGAGGAAGGAAGGAGAATTGAGTTGGCGGAAATCCAACATCAAAAAGGGGAATGAGCTGTATTGTTACAGATTTAAGTTATCTTTTCACCTTCAAGCTTCTGATTGAGGCTACGCTTTATCTTTTCTTTGTATCGTAATTTTGTAATCAACAAGAACAAATCCATACCAAATTGGTATCAACTATCAAGATAAAATCGTATTGTTATCTCTAAATATTATTAAAAGAGAAATTTATGACATCATTTTAAACACCTATTTCAATCCTATGTTTTCTACCCTTAGATCAAATTGATACATCATCTTTCCCAAATGGAATATATTTAATTCAAATAAAATCTTCCTATATTTTAAATCTTGTATTTCCGGTTATAAAGCTTTTTAATATGGTCAACTTTAAAAACATATTAGTATCAAATCATTTCAATTAAGGCATTAATATCAACCATTAATATAAATTTGTTTATATTAATAAAGCATTAATATAAAATCTATTTTTATTAGGAAACCATTAATACCAAAAAATCAGATTCAAATTATCACATACATATACGATTCATCATTGAATTTGCAGCTCACACTTATTTTCAATCGTTGCTTTTCTTCAAACATTCTTCTACAACATCATTCTTATTGTTTATAACTTTCATCATCATTCTCTGCCTCAAACCTTCGTTGTTGTGCAGTAGAAGGTCAGTACATTTTTTTCGTTTTTTATATTTTTTTTGATTATTTTTTTGCTCCTATATCAAATATATGTATTCATATATTTCGATTTTTTGTCACAAATTACATGAAATC